TCCAACAATAATACAAATCCATCGCGCCAAAGCTTTAATGCCAATTGTTTCTTCCCCGTGCTCTCCAATTCCTGAACAATTTAAAATAATGTAGTAGGGTAAATATAATGTTATATTTTGCATAAGTGCTTTGATGAATTAAGCTAAACAAATAACAGATTATTAGGGGGAATCTAGGAACATGAGAAACAGAGGAAGTTTTAATATTAGAAGGTTACAATTCAATAGGACCCTCAGAGTGCCAGCAATCAGGGTACTAAGGAAGCCATCCGGAACAATGCTACATTTTTGTCTATGCATGTGATACTTTTTAAAAAATATGTGGAGGAAAATGTTTTTATAGAAGGCCAGTGCTTTATGGTTTATTTTGTCCTTAAAATCTATAACCCATGGAGGTTTTGGCAATTTTTGCAAGAAAGGTAAAGCAAAAGCATTACCTAAATATAACAAATTTATAGAGGGTTGTAGTCTGAAGTTGAAGGAAGAATCCAAGCTAGTTGAGGAAGAATCAAGCTATGACAATAATTGTTTCAGGGACTGAATTTCCTTATAAAAAAAGTTACCATCAGTAGATGGTTCCTCAGATAAAGCTCCACTATCAAATGTGTGCCTGTGGTCTAGAAGAGCTGACCCGCTTCCCTCCACGCCCTTAAAGTTGGGCATCCATGTAATTTCCAGCGGAACTCCTTAGTGTGCCTATTCTTAACGCAATAGTCACAAAATAATTGATCTATGTCTGAAGAACCGCTCTTTACAACTTCTATCTGTTCTCTTGTAGAATTAGTAATCAATCATGCTTTATCAATTATAGATCTGTGAACCATAGCACTCCTCCTAATCTCCTCTTATTATACAAATGAGTATGCTTGTCGCAAGGATGGAAAAGGATCTCGTCCAAGAACTTGGACTCGAATCTAATCATACTCGTTATTTAGGCCAGCTAGAAATTTAGGCCAGCTAGAAAATCATTCACATGTTCTACTTCAATTAAATTCTGAACTTGAGCCGCATCATCAATACATTTTGCTTGAAAGTCTTGGTAATAATCCAGTTCTTGCCATAACCTACTACGTTTAGCAAAATACTGAGCGACAGTCAGATCTCCCTGTTTGGTTTCATGAACTTTCTATCGCAATTCATACCTCTGAGCATAGTTTCCAGTTTGCGAGTAAGTCAGTGCAGCGGCATCCCATATCTTCTTAGCTGTATCAAGAAGTAAATTTCTTAGCTGTATCAAGAAGTAAATATCCTCGTGAAATGGTTGGCTGCTAAGAATTGATTAGCCAACACATAATAAGGGAGTTCTCTGATTTTCATTTGTTATAACTCGGATCTTTCAAACTAGTGTTGGTGCTCCACCGTCAAGATACCCTTACAAACCTCTAACCTCAATGAATAGCAAACAGGACCGAGACAAGCCCAGTAATTTGTGCCATCTAACTTCACTGGACTAATCTGGAGCGAAGGATTCTTCGAGTGAAAATCTACGTCTACCTTTTTTTCGTCAACCATACTATCAGTCTAAAAAATTTGATAGCTGATTCAAAAATTAGAACCGAAAATCACACAGGCAGCAATATATGAGATGGAATAAAAAAAAAAGGAATCAACACAAAGTCAAAACTGGGAAAGAGTGACTAGTGGGTCTGAGTTGCAGCACCAAAACAAGACCACCGAAAAAAAATATTCAGCAAAGGTCACCGAAAAACGCAGCACTCGTCGGTGCGTGAAGAAAGGCCAGAAACTTTCTGTGGTGCGTGTGCACACGTGCGTGATCAAACAACGACGGGATTTGACTGGAAGGATGATCGACGGTTGCTCCTCCTTCTGAAGTGGGCGGTGATGACCAACATTCTCTCCTAGAGGCGCTACTTGAAACTCAGACCTGTTTGATGATAAAAAACCTATACCGAAAAATCACGACAAGGCTCTGATGCCATAAAGTTTTTGAAAAGAGAGAGTTTTACTATATTGTGTTGTTATTGTCCCGTCTCTACTCTACTATATATATATACAAAAGATTGTTCCAATATAGGAAGTAATCTAAATAGGAATAAACCTAAACTAGGAAAGATAATATTTACTCTAATTACAAGGATTTCAACACCTCTCAAGGATTTCAAACACCTTCTCAACCCTTTAAAATAGTTAGAGCTTTTCAATTGTCCGTTTTCGTGTGGATTATACTAGAGGCCGGACACTTGGGATGCTTGTTGTTTGCGAACAACCTAGCCGCGTAGATCGAAGTTTTTTGAAGAATCTCACAAAAGAGGCGTATTCTTTCTGAAATAATTTATATTAAATAATTTTTATTGCTTTAATCGTTTAAATGGATCCCTGTTGGTATAATTATTTTGTTAAAATTATATTATTCTGCTGCGTATTATTGATATAAAATCCCAACATACATACCTTGTTTTGAACCTTCCTCAGTGTAGCGCAAATCAACTTGCAATCCATCAAAAGTGTATTCTATGCTTTCATTAACTCCTTCATCCTACATTCCTTGTCAGTAACTAACTCCACCACTCAATAGCCAATTCATTGGATTTTCCATTAGGGTTAGAATCACCGTCATCGTGCTATTACTAAACAACTGTTCAATTAAATACTTCTACGATTAATTTCATCACAAGCTTCCATATTTAAAGCTTCTACAACTCAGCTTCTGCAGTTTCATCTTTTGCTGCTTTCAATCCTTTCCAATTAGTATTCTCTTACTTCTACCTCAATTCCAATTAATATAATGATATACCTTCTCCTCTGATCATATGGATGTGATTAAAATAAGAGCTAAGTGATAAATTTGATCCTCATGTTAACAAATAAATTGCAACTAAAAGCAAAACTTCATGTTACCACTCCTTCAACGCCAAAATGATGTCATTTAGGCTCATTCACTTAGTTGGAATTAACTCTGACCTATAGGTCTAGACTTTTCCATCCTCAATGCAAAATGTGATTATCTCTAGAAACTACCCAACTTAACAAATTTGTTTTTCCAAGGTAATTAATTTAGGGCTAGAATTCATGTTTCTAACAACAATATTAAACCTTTTTCATAATTACCAACTATTACATTTATTGATCCACATAAGCTTTTCCTCCAAAACAATGTCAAGACAATTTTGTATTTCTACCTAAACCTAAAGTGATTTTCTTCCTAAATGGTGGTTTTGAGCCAATCATAATGATCCACTTAACATTGTCCTTAACAGAAAAACATTTTACATACCGACCAATTTATAGTTTAACCTAAACCAACCCTAATTTTAAAACTATGCATATTAGATGGCTTAACCTACAAAAATATCTTGAACTTTTCATGTTGTTGCGATATCATTCTAAAATGACCTTTGTCCCTCCGGCATCTAAACTTTGAAACTTAGATATATTGTATCCCCATATTTAAAATTCACCTAGGGTTTTGCAATATAATAACATCTTGAACTTTTCATGTTGTTGCGATATCATTCTAAAATGACCTTTGTCCCTCCGGCATCTAAACTTTGAAACTTAGATATATTGTATCCCCATATTTAAAATTCACCTAGGGTTTTGCAATATAATAACATAAAAGTAGCCCCATCAAACTAACTCGAATTAACTTAACCTAACCTCCTAAAACTTATGAAATGCATTTTGATCTTGAAAAACAAAATCCCTAGTTTCATTCGTAGCTCCATCAAGTACCAACAAATGCAAAACAACAAAAAATCGATCAACTGATAATTCCATTATCAAAAACCACATAATACACAAATATAAAACACCCATCATGATATCCAGAAATAAAATTCTCCATTTAATATATACTGTAAATAGTTAGATAATTACCCATTAAAGAAAAGACGAAAAAGAACTAAATACATTTCAAATAGGAGAGAATAAAATGCGACGGAAGCAATTGCAAGAGATTAAGAAAAAAATATCCAAGTAGCTAAAAACACACCTCTAACATCACAAAGAAAATAAACAACTCAGAAGTTCAAATAGACCTAGGTGAGATTAAGCGAAGCTCAAATACATAAAGGAAAAGGACAACTATTCAAAGAAAAATTGTTGTTGGCCAGCTGCTGTACAACTCACAAGCTCATTTGCTAAGTTTGGAAGAGACGATAATACCAATGAGAGAAGGAAAATGGAAAGAGGAAATCGAAATTTAATATAAGGAGATTATCGAGGGAACAAGGAAGGGAGCTTGATAGATCTGCAAAGGAAATTAGGGATTTTGTTTTTCAATATCAAAACGATGCGTTTCATAAATTTTAGGAAGTTGAGTTAAATTAAATCTAGTTGGTTTGGTGGATTCCACTTTTATATTATTATTTTGCAAATCCTAGGTGAAATTTGAATCTAAGGTGAATATATATTGAAGTTTCAAAATCGGAGTACCGGAGAGACAAAAGTAATTTTTAAGTGATACCACGAACAACAGGTAAACTTAAAGGTGCTTTTGAAGATTAAGCCATATTATATAATAAATTTCACCTTTCATATAATAAATATTAAAACTTTTAGTATGAAACCCGCATTTTGGTTCTATATTCCAAAAGCTACAACCATTGACTTAAAACTTTAAACTTGATTGATCAAAATGGCGTAAGAGTTATACAAGAAAAACAATGGCAGGTTCTAAAACGATAAAAAAATCTACCTGATCAACCGGTAACCTTGTTACTTGCTACCTGACAGATCGGTAGCCTCATATATTTTATATTTTTTTCTTTTTAGTTTTTTTTTTTTTTACCCCCCATCAGATCGGTATCAGAAACCCTACCGCCATCTGCATAGCACACACTAAGACAAACGCTGTTCCAATGACACTATTGCTTTTACTTATGGACTCACATTGCCCCTCTGTTGCTTCTATTTTTTTAAGTTATCAAAAATAAAATGACAAATTCTTGTCCCACAAAACAAGGCCTGATAAAATAAAAAAAGCTACCCGATGAACCGGTAACCTTGTTACCTGCTACCTGACAGATTAGTAGTCTCATGTATTTTCTTTCAATTTCTTTTTGGGCTATTGACGCGGAAATCTGTTACACTGCAGGAACACTATTCGCCACAAACGAATAGCAGTCTCGCAATTTCAAATTCCAAATTTATTTCTCTCTTTCACAGATCGGAATGAGGTTGAGCGGAAGGACAAAACTGTCGAAAGAAACTTCATTGAATCTCATAGTAGTCGATCAACGATCAGAAATTATTTCTTCCCTTATTCTGAAGTTGCGATCATGGTCGAATACATGTATTCGAAAATCTGTTTCATTTTTCTCACCGATTTTGGTAAACGTCAACGTTTTTGTCACAAGAATCATACCGACCAAATTGTGGAGGAAAAAAAATCATCAGGTAAGAGGCTTGTAAAAATCTTACTCTGGACTACCAGAACAATAATGAATTTTGTTTTACAGGTTAACGATGTAGCCGCCTGTGATCGAATAACATTCGAAGGGGATACAGATTTAGAAGACGATATAGAAAAAGAATTAATGTCACATGGTGTTGGTGGATTGGCTAAAAGTTTCGATTTTATCATGGACAAGGTGTTTGATACTTCATTGCGAAGCGCTGGGCAATTTACACGGTGAGAATACTCAATAGATAAACCCAAATTTATCATTCTCTTATTTTCCAATTTATCTTAACTGTTAGTCTTCTTTTATAATCAGTAGGTCAGGCTTATATTTTTATATTATAATAATACTCCCTCTCGGTCCCATTTTATTTGCATTATTTGACAGAAAAACATATTAAGAATTTAGCCGATAAAAGTTATTTTGCCTATTTCTACCCACAACTAATTAACATATTAATAAAAGTCATTTATTTAATGGACAATTGTAAAGGATATTATGAGAAAAATAATTGTTTACATTTTTAAATTTAGAAACCTTGCAAGACATCCAAAAAAAAGAAATAACAAGCAAAAAAAAAAATAGGATAGAGGGATTAATAATAATAACAATAACAATATATATATAACAATAGCGATAGATGGGATTATTAATAATAACAATAAACAAATATATATATATATATATATATATATATATTATATATATATTATATATATATCCACTTTTTATATAAGATATCTGCACCTCCCAAACATTATATTTGGTTTGCTTAAAAGATCTTCATTGCAATTGTTTTTCCTCAATTTTTTACTTTGATTTTAAAAGGAAATTTTTGGTAATCCCAGTACTAGATTCTAGTTCGTATCTTGGTAATACCCTTCATGTTACTTGTGTTGGGTTGGTTTAAGCCGAACTTGATCACTATTTAGGTGGTGTTAAGTTGTTTGTTGTGTGCGAATCAAATTAATCATTCAGTGCAAAAATTCTGCAAAATTTGTGTTGTAAAACCCACTTGAATACATGATTCATTCCTTCTTTGTTAATTCATTTAACCAAACAATAACTTTATCCTATATTTTAAAAAACTTGAAACTTGCTGTGAATACTATAGAAGTTAGTTGCTCTATTGTGACATGGAGGTCATCAATTTAAAGTCTAAAGTTTAAACCACAATGATCTCCTTGCAATGTGGGAAGGCTAAATGCATCCAGTTTCCCTGGAGTCTACAATGTTAGAGGTTTTCTGCATTGGAAACCTCTAAAGGGCATTTCGTTGACCAAAAAAATATGCTTAGGATCAGAATCAAGACCAAATACTTGACCTACCCTGGTGAGATCACTATTCCTATGGGGATCAAGTGAAACTATTCGGTATTACCATGTGAACTATATATTGATTAATTCTAATCTTGCACTAAAAAGACCAATTTTGTAAGGAACCAAAGCACTAAAAAGACCAATTTTGTAAGGAACCAAATTTTTATTCCCTTTCAAATCAAACACTTGAGAAAAATAGCTATTTCATTTCCTATTATATTTGATTCTGGTTCTGGAGTTCAAACCATGCAAATGCTTCTATCAATTGAAGTCATTGATATATCATACTTTTTATCCTTTGGCCTCAATTTTATTATTGCCACATATGGTTGGGAATTCTTTGACTATGCAAGTCATTTTCTCATACTTAAATGGAGCATTGCATTTTTTTTGGGAAATTTTTAGTTAATATATTGTGTTGCTGGTATTAGCTTTATTTCACTTCTTCCTTAGAATATTCTCAAGTTTAGTTGTCAGTCTTGAACATCATACCTTAGAAATTCCTGAGAATATTCTCAAGTTTAGTTGTCAGTCTTGAACATCATACCTTAGAAATTCCTGACAATATTATTGGCTTCCACATTGGAAGATCCATGTTGGTCTTGAACATGATAGCTTAGGGATTCCTGACAATATTGGGTTCCATAGTGTTGTTAGAAGTGAATTTGGTTGATGTTAAAAAGTGAGCATAAGGTGTAAAGCGCGGGAATTCTAATAGAGTAGGTGCCAAGCTAACCATATTGTAGGAATAGTTGTGTATTTGCTATGGGGAAATTGCTGCCATTGCTACCTAATGCTTTCCTTGTATATTATATGTGTTAGTTGGATTTGTCTTCATTAGATTACTTATTATTACCCCACAAGGTTACAAAAATGTTCCATTTGAAAATTGGGTATGGCTTCATGAAACTCAAGCTTAAATTGAGATTAGCGTCTACCAATTGAAAAAACAAGAAACCATTGTTTGCGAGTTATTATTTTAATATTGGTAAAACTATCATCTTGACTGATTTTTCGATTGTATGTATAATGTGATTTTTCCATTGCTACCTAATGCTTTCCTTGTATTAGCTGGATTTGTCTTCATTAGATTACTTATTCTTACCCCACAAGGTTACAAAAAATGCCCCATTTGAAAACTGAGGTATGCCTTCATGAAACTCAGGCTTAAATTGAGATTACTGTCTCCCAATTGAAAACACAAGAAACCATTGTTTGCCAGTTATATTTTTAATATTGGTAAAACTATCTTGATTGATTTTTCGATTGTATGTATAATGTTATTTTTATGAAATGTCCTATATGCACAACCATATTAAAATCCATTTAAAATTTTGATACCTAGGCCTATTCCAAACCTGTTTAAATTTCCTTTTGAAATATCCATATCCAAATCAATTTAAAATTTTAATATCCGCAAATGTCCTAAACCCATTTAACTAATACAAACTTGCTTTATGAGTTGGACAAAGAACTATAAAAGAGAAGCATAAATGATAGACAATTCCAAAATCCTAGTCGTTTAAAATTTTTTAATATTTTTCTTTTGGTGATTGATTTGTTTGACATTTGATGATATTAAGGTTTGGAGTCTTGGGCATGGGTTAATTTATATTAATTTTAACAAAATTTAAGCCCAAATTATATGCCTATCTTAAATCTAACATGCACTTAACTTTTTCACTTGAAATATTTAATTAATCTAGGCCCAGACCTGCATTGTAGTGAATTTAATACCCATACTTGTTCTAGGTTTATTTAATTAAAATCTAAACCTGTTTTGAATAGGTTTTTGCGGGTGGATACCCAAAAAAAGCTGCTCCGCTGTCATCCTTATGCATAGGGTTGTAAAAAAATAATAACAATAATAAGGGAAAAAAAATAATCGCGTTCGTGAGAATTGACCTAATTAATATTTGAGGACCTTATTTTTCAAAAAGCAACTATAAGGTCCCTAAATTTTGATTCTGTTAATAGTTGCATCATTCCATTCAAAACACTCACTTCTAGTTGTCAAATCATTGTGTAAGTACAAAATACCCTAATTCAAAAATAACATTATCAAACTGTCGTCACCACCATCTCCTCTTCCACCACAAGACCAAATTTCTAGAAACAAACCTAACTGCAACAAGAAAGAAACCCAAAAAATGCAGAGACCAGCACATAGACAAATCCAGAACCAACTCAATCACTGATCATAAGTAGTAATATCAACCACAAACTCCTAACGAATTTCTGCAGTGAATCTCTAAAATGTAAAATTAAAAAGCACTCTGAATGTGCTATTAAAAGCAATGTATCAAAATCAAAATTATTTCTTTATTCTAAAATGACACCTAATCAAACAATTTAAATCGTTCCTCAATTGTATCTAAAAAAAACAACTTTTAATCGTTTTTCAAAATACTTGCATATGAAAAGTAACACTTACAGGGGTTTTAGCTCCTAAAGCCCGCCCCCCGCCCCCCGCCGTAACACTTACCAGGGGTTTAGCTCCTTAAAGGCCCGCCCCACCGCCCCCCGCCCCACCCCCCCCCCCCCCCCCCCCCCCCCCCCCCCCCCCCCAAAAAAAAAAAAAAGCATGCAAAGCCATAGTTAAAAATAGCAATAAATATCCTACTCAGACAACCTCATGTTAATTTAAAAAAAAAAAAAAAAAGCATGCAAACCATAGTTAAAAATAGCAATAAAGTACCTACTTAGACAACCTCATGTAATTTTAATTTGCGAGGAGGCGATCAATGTGATCAGTTTGAGGCATGGACTGTAGGTTGGCTGGTAAGGAGTCACAATTAGAGTCGATCCAATTCGTGACCTTGTTGATGGTAATGACTTTAGCTTCTGGGAATGCCTCGATTTTGCAAACCCGCTCTATTTTGATTTCAGAAATCCACTCCGGTTTGATTTCAAGTAAGAAAATCAAGAATTATAAAAGAAAAATAGAGAGTTTTGTATTGATGGAGAAGACTAAATACTTTAAGAGGCTTTGATTTTAGTTGAGATTGATGTACTTGCAAAAGAGGAGCGACCTATGTGAAGGAGGCTGCTGCATTGAATAAAGTGAAAATAGAAGCTGGTGGCGTAGGTTGGGTCGGTGATAAGGGAGTTCTTGGGTCTGATGGGGTGTTTATTGGGATTAAAATTTTTCTCTCATTAGACTGACTTAAATTGTTAAGATTAACAGAAAAGTTGCTAATTTTGGACAGAAGGGTGAAACTATTAATAGAATCAAAATTTAGGGACTTGATAATTAGCTTTTGAAACCAGAGATCCTCAAGTGTTAAATTAGGCCAAGAACACGATTATTTTTTTCCCTAATAAGAAAATTACATTATCACCCAAAAACTGAGAGAGCAAATAATCGCATGTAAAAATTACATGTTAAGCAATGGGTTAAATATAAACATAGTGGATGGTGGTAGGACACATCAATACATGATTTTTACTTTTTTTTCAAAAACAAAAAATTTGAATTAATTATAAGATAATTAAAATAACATAATAATAGATCTATTTGTATTTTCAATTTATATTTTCATCAAGCCACTGCTTTGAGTGCATGTGGTATGATCGATCTTAAGTGCATGTGGTGTGATCTCCCTTATACCCACATAATGCTTTAAATATTTGATCAGTCATGGTTGATCTCTGGATGCCTTCTAGATGAGAAGCCATTATGGGGTATGATTTGAAGAACTTTTCTATATTGTTTATATAGTACACGATTTCACAAGATTCAACCTTTTTTGTTTAACTGAGTTCCAGAGCACGAGGGAATGGGGCTTTTCATTCCTGGGTGGCCTCGTCTGTAGTTCCCTTCATCATCATATGTTGAATGTTATTAAAAACAGTGAATATCATCGTATTTTGTGATAAAAATTACTGCTTAATTTTTAACACGAAATATGATGATGCTTAAAAACAATGTCATTAAGTAGTAATTATATATGTACAATGAATTTTCTTTTTAAATTAATTTGCGAAATATGATACATTATAGTAGTGAAATACATACAATGATTTTTTATATAATTAGATTTATATTTGTTGAATAAAAAAAGAACTCTTTAAATTGATAAATAATTAATTTATTTGATTAATTAATACTACTCTGAATTAATAAAATTTCACGGTCCCAACATTGTTAGTTTATAGAGGTTTTATTGTACCTAGATCATATGGCCTTGGCCACTTGTAAACTTACTTGGCTAAAGGAACTTCTTAAAAAGTTAAGATGTGGAGGAGTTAAACAAATAAAATTGGTATATCATAACTGCACTTCATATCGCCCCAATCTAGTGTTTCAAGAATGAATAAAACATGTAGAGGTAGATTGTTATTTTATTAGGCAGAAAATTGAGTAGGGATGTATTGCTATCACCATTATCAATTCAAGTGATTAATTAGCAGATGTCTTTACTTAAATCTCTTAGAGGTTCTCAAATTGAATACATCTATGACAACTTAGTAGCATATGACATATACAGAACAGCTTGAAGGGGAAGTGTTCAAATGTTGAAATTATGGTTGTGATTGTGTGGCTTTAATTAGAGGACTAATATGCTGCAGTATAGGTTGTAATTATGGGATTAATCAACCATATAGAATCTTCTGTATTATATGTACCCTAGTATGGGAATAATCAAGCTTCCTTCCAAATCGCTCTCAAATCTCTTTTTTCTTTCTTACAAGGTCATGTTGAATTAAAAAAATAAATAAATATATTAATTAATTAAAAAAAATACAGATAAAATATTATATAAATATATATATATATATACTTAATATAATATATATATATATTATTACCTAGTTAAAATTAATATATATATTACCTAGTTAAATAATTGGACGATGAAATAGATGCTAAACGGACATTGCCTAAAAGGTTTTATATTCAATTATAGTAACTAGACAAATGTAAAATAAATACATGTACTTGTAAATATATGCACATCCCATTCCCATCATATAGGAATCAAAGAAGGCCAAATGCATATCAATCCCAAAAAGAAAAAAAAAAAAAAAATTTCTTAGAAACTAGTTGAATTTTTGAATTTTGGAGTGTCTTGTATTGTCTTTTCTTGTATGTTTGTATACGGCTAGTGACTTATTCTTTATTGTAAAGGATAGATTAGGTAGTTCCATATAGCCTTAGTCCAATGTATAAATCGGGTTTTAACAATTTTTTTACATTAGATTGAATGAAAATTCCCTTCACAAAACAGTAATAGTTAACTGGAGTTAAATAACTATCAAATAAATTTTTGGAATTGCGAATCTATTGTATTTCATTATGATAGAGGGACTTAATAGTAATTCACCCAAGGTAAGTTGTAACTGCCTATCAAAATATGCAAAAAGTTTGTGTATGTAATATTATTTATCATTTGGCCCTTTTATTTTGAAATCATTTTGTTTTCACTGTTATTTGATTCTACTTCATAAAATCAGTGTTCTTGACATTGCAGGTTAAAGATCAATAATGTTAAAGGGATGCTTCTCTATGGGCCACCTGGAACTGGGAAAACATTATTGGCAAAAGCACTTGCAAAGATGCTACACGCTAAGGAATCTGATTTTCTCCCTCCCACTTTACAATTATACAAATGCACACAAAATTTTTACTTGGCAATATCTTGGATTTTAAACTGTAATAGCTATAATGAATAATGAGACGTTCTAAAAATCAAATTGAGGGAAGATAGGATAGCTGCTTATGCGTAATTTATGTATGAGTCAGTTTTTTACATGCCCCTATATTTGTCTCTCATACATTAGTAATATTCAGAAAGCAATTGTGGATTTATGATTTGTTACATTTTCTTTTACTGGCTACAAAATGAAAATATTGAACTCATATTTTCGAAGTCTTTTCTTCCTAGAGTTATTTGGCTTGGATCTTATGGTTTTTGATGTGCCTTCTTCTATAGGTTGTTATGGGGCCTATGTTGATGTCAAGCTACGTAGATGAATCAAAACACAGTTTGAGAAAGCTATTTGATGATGCTACAAATGATTATAAAAAATATGGTTTGTATGACATATTTGCATTATTATCAATTTCTTTAGTGGATATACAAAAAGGATGATTATGATTATATCCCTATTGTTTTCCTTAAACTTGGATACGAAATTGTAATTTTTTGTTTGCCCTTTGTAGGAGATCAAAGTCCTCTCCACATGATCATTTTTGATGAAATTGATTCCTTCACTCAGGTAAAAGTTATGCATGAGACTGAATTTCATTGTAGGTTCTAGTGCACTTAGATAAAAGTAAAGCATGAAAATTTAATATATATGTTTGCCTTATGCGATAGGTATGATCAACAGTACCACACACAAAAATGACATATTTTGATAGAAAAATTGAATGCCTTCACACTCAGGTAAAGAGATATGCATGAGAAAAAACTGAATTTATTAGTAAGGTACGTACGTGCATCTTAGATAAGTAAGATGCCAATCCCTATTGTTTTCCTTAAACTTGGATACGAAATTGTAATTTTTTGTTTGCCCTTTGTAGGAGATCAAAGTCCTCTCCACATGATCATTTTTGATGAAATTGATTCCTTCACTCAGGTAAAAGTTATGCATGAGACTGAATTTCATTGTAGGTTCTAGTGCACTTAGATAAAAGTAAAGCATGACGATTTTATTTTTCCTTTTTCTTTTATAGGGCTCTGGGATAGTTCATCAATTGTTCGGAATGGTAATTCTTTCTTTATTTAAAATAAGTTTTTTTAGCGTGGATTTTTTTCCTTCTGTGTACTAAATCATAAACCTTATCTAATCCAGATTGATGACGTCAATGCATGTAATAATATCTTTATTATTGGAACAACGAGTAGGATGGATTTAGTCGATGAGTCACTCTTGAGGTAACTACTACTCCCTCTCATATGTTAGATATATTGCATTGCTTAATATGTCAATGATCTCTGCATTTGAACATTTCCAAGTTAGAAATAACACATGATTCATTATTGTAGCATTTTTATGTTTGATACGTAACCTAGTAATTTTTTAAAGATATCAATCAGAATCAAATTGCCTCGTTGAACGGTTAAGCATGATTGCTTATATTTCATTAATTGTGGAATTTAAATAAAATGATGAACCCCCACCCCCCAAAAAAAAAAACTCTTAATTGGTCCTAAAATTATTAGAATTTGTGTGGATGGTGATCTACCCTAGTTACTAGGGTTTTAGGGCAATTACATTGTCCATTGGCCATCCTCTGGGCTTAGTTTAATCAATGGTCACCTAATCTTTACTGAATTTCTTATTAGTTGCTCAAATATAATCTGTTGCAAAAAAAAAAAAAAAGAATTGGGTTTCAAACTGGTCATTCCCAAAGGTTGTACGTTGTAGATTGTTAAACTTCTTGTCTGGCATAATGTGGCCGTCCGAAAAATTAATAAATAATTGCTCTTCAATGCAAATCAACAAGCTTGCTTTGCAGATCTCCTATACACACTTCGGGAAGAACTCTTTAATCATGTTAGAAAACACCCTTTCAATACAATTACTCAAATTCTTTTTAGGCAAGGCTTGCTTTTATGTGGAAAGCCCCCAAAATTTGTTTTCTTAAAATGAAAAAAGGTAAATTATGAGTCCTTTCTTATGGATAGTTCACAAACTTCCATGATTTTAGTGAACATTCGTAAAGATTCACATTAAGATAATTAATTAATTTAGGATGTAAAAGAACCTAAGAATTTTACTTCATTTTTTTTTTTCTTGCCTTGATTATCATTCTTGGCTTGTGTTTTCTCAAACTTTCCGTTTGTTCCTAGCTTTCATTGTATGTTCAATCTTGAAGTTGGGAAGTTGTGGGTTGTCTGGTTGTATAAGGTTTTGTTGAGGATTCATTTTAGGGAAATTATAATTTTGTCTCCATATCATGTCAAAATTAATTACTTTGTCCTTATGTTTTCTCAAAAAAGAATTAAAAGGAGTTAATTAACCTTCTAAATGAACGCAAGGATTCACATCTAATTATCATGCATTTCAATTGTGAGAGAGAGGAAGGGAAGGAAAGAAGCGAAAGGGTATCTTGGTTTTTTTCTTTAAATTTAACAACAAAAAATGGAAATATTGATAGAAGGACAAAAAGTTGGACAGAATAAATATATGGGAATAAAATAGTTGTATCTTAAAAAATAGAGGGAGAGAGAAATTAATTTTGGCATAATATGGGAACAAATTTATAATTTCCTTCATTTTCTATGCTAGGTGTTCCAGAACTAAATTTTCAAGGACATCCATTTGAAAATTAAAATATGGTTATAAAAATGTTTTTAAATATTTATTATTATTATTATTATTATTAATGGTTATAAAAATGTTTTTAAATATTTATTATTATTATTATTATTATTATTATATTTTAGATATAATAATTTTTAGGAAGTTAGAACAAATTTTAAATACTGCAGCAATTGGGAGAGGAGAATGAGAAGGAAGAAAAAAAGAAAGAAATATGAAAGGGGATAATTTGGGTCTTTTAAAAAATAAAAATGAATAATATGAGAAACAAAAATTTTTAATTGCCTCCAAAAGTTAATTTGATAGATTGAAAAATGAACGATTTTTGGGAATTTTCAATCTCGCAAATAAGCATCAGAATACTTCTCTGTCTGTAAACTCTTTGCTAAACAGCCCAAAAACTTAACATTACCTTTGTGAAGATTTATAAAAAGATCTTAGTGTTTTCTTTATTCGTAATGGTGGATGTACATGTATGTATGTATAATAGACTTAGTTGAGATAAAGATAATTACAGATGATTACAAGTGATAGACTTAGTTACTAAGAGATAAAAGATAAATATAGAAAAACATATTTCCTTATCAGCCCCCTCAAGCTAATGTTAGATTGGAAAGTAGACCTAGCTTTGGTCTGCACTTAAACATATTGAATTGTCAATTTGTCAAGGATAACTAACTCGCGAACAAAGTGAGAATCTAACTCGATATGCTTAGTACGGGTGTGAGAGAAAGAATATTTGAGTGGAACATGAGAGTGAGAAAGAAGAGTAAGACCAGTATCAACAATATGACATATGATGGATTTTCCATTTAGAGACGTTATTTGTTCATGTGTATAGGGACAAGCAATTCGGTGAATAATGTCATGTTTAATTTATGAAATTCTCCCCCCGATCTAAATGAAAGGCTTTAATTTTGGTATTGAATTTCCTCAAAATCAATTGCTCTAAGTTCCGAAAAATATTGAAGACATCACTTTTATTATGCAAGAGGTACACTCAACACTAACGACTAAAATCATCAATGAAAATAACGAAATATCTATGACCTAAAGAAGACAAAAGTGGGGCTGGCCCCCCAAACATCAGAGTGAATAATGTCAAAGGTTGCTCGACTATGGTGACTAACATGCAAGAGGTACACTCAACACTAACGACTAAAATCATCAATGAAAATAACGAAATATCTATGACCTAAAGAAGACAAAAGTGGGGCTGGCCCCCCAAACATCAGAGTGAATAATGTCAAAGGTTGCTCGACTATGGTGACTAACCGGAGCTAATGGAAGGCGAGCAAGTTTGCCTTGTAAACAAGAAGTACAAGGAGACACAATTTGAGACTTTTGACAAGGTAAACTGAATTGATTAACAATTTTAGATGCAGTTTTCGAACTTGGATGACCTAATTTGTGATGTCTATCTTGCAGAGCATGTCTCACACATGGATGCGTCTTTCTTCATTGGAATGGATCGCATGGTATATGTACCATGCTCACTCGGTCTGTGCAGCAGAATTTTCCTTGAAATTTGATCCTTAACAATAAAATAATCAGGCTAGAATTCAAAGAAATCATTGTTATTAGCAGTAAATTTTTGAACTGATAATAAATTTGACAATTTTAGGAACAAGCAAAATATTATTTAATTTAGAGAGCCATAATTAGAATGGATTTGAGCCCCACAAAAGCCCTCCATCAATGGTATTCTTTTTTAATACTTACTCCTGCCAATTTCCAATCCTAGAATGATTAAAAGAACAATGAAAGTTTCTAGCTTTTGATGTAGAAAGAGTAACTAGTGTATGAACACTTGCACATTTTGGATATCTCAAGAAATAGATGGGTTTTAAGGTTCTTAGCTTAGACTAGGAAATTGAATTAGAGCTTTAGCTTTTTTGCAGTAGTAGGTTTTACTGTTGTAATTGCACATCCCTTGGATTTTATCTCAAGAAATGACCGTTAAAAAGACTCTTGCGGTCAGTATTCAACAAGGGTATAGACTCTAGAATGATTAAAAGAACAATGAAAGTTTCTAGCTTTTGATGTAGAAAGAGTAACTAGTGTATGAACACTTGCACATTTTGGATATCTCAAGAAATAGATGGGTTTTAAGGTTCTTAGCTTAGACTAGGAAATTGAATTAGAGCTTGCCAGAGTGAGAAACGAAGTTGGAGATTATTCAGGCCTGCGCACAGTACTGTTGCTGCAGAGTAAAGACATTGTAGCAGGAGATATCAAATATTTCATAAATTAAAATTTCCTATGCATAACTAGAAATAGATACTGGAAGCCATGGTAATTAACAGCCTTACATGGCAGTATTCTCATCCTGTTTTTCCGGCAGGCTGTTTTCCTGCAGATATTTCTCCCTAAATATTTTTCAGCCATGGATAATATTGAACTTTAAATATTTTTCTGTGCAGACCTGGCAGACTGGATCTCCGCATTGAAATCGGGATTCCTAATGAGAAAGGTCGTGTAAACATATTAAAGATTCACACACAAAGGATGAACCATTGTGGTTTACTCCATTCAGATGTGAACCTTGAACAAATAGGCAAGTCATTTTGCCTTGGATTTTTGTTACTTACAGCGAAAGTCCATTTTGCCTTGGATTTTTGTTACTTACAGCGACTGGATGAATTCTTCAAGGTATTCTCCCTAAATATTTTTCAGCCATGGATAATATTGAACTTTAAATATTTTTCTGTGCAGACCTGGCAGACTGGATCTCCGCATTGAAATCGGGATTCCTAATGAGAAAGGTCGTGTAAACATATTAAAGATTCACACACAAAGGATGAACCATTGTGGTTTACTCCATTCAGATGTGAACCTTGAACAAATAGGCAAGTCATTTTGCCTTGGATTTTTGTTACTTACAGCGACTGGATGAATTCTTCAAGGTAATCTGATAATTTTAATGTCTGTTCATGTAGCTTCCATGACTGTTGGTTGGACCGGGGCTGAGCTTGCCAGTGCTGTTAACTCTGCTCTCTCCCATGCTATTGTCCGTGCAGATCCTAATATGCTAGGGCAAGTAAATAAAAAGCAGATTAGAGTAAAACAAGCAGACTTTCTTCATGGTGTTCGAGTTAGTATCCATGATAGATGATGGAAGAAATTTGAGTATAATATATATAAATATTTATCTAATGTATAATAAATATATGTTGATAACATATCATAGTGTGCCTACACATGAATCCACCGCTAATTTCTGTAACTTTTACCACATTTTGCGAGACGCCTATTATTTTGCTTGAAAAGTTGAGCTTAATACCCACAGCCTGAAAATTTGTTTCCACAATAAACTGGTAACAACTTTGTCCTTGTTAAACACAATCTTCTAAGGCATATCATGCAGTTTGAAAATGTTATCCAGAAACAGCGGAGTAATCTTTGCAGCAGTTAATGGGTGTGATATAGCAATAATGCGGGCATACCTAGAGAACTTGTCCACCGCTACTAAATAGCATTTTTAGTAGCTGATATAGGTAGACCTTCAATGAAATCTATAGATATATATAACCAACCCTAAGTAGGAACGTGCAGAGGCTGTAACAAGCCAGGATAAGAAATGGATTCATTTTTGCATTTTTGGCATACATCAGAAGAAAAGATCCATTCAAATACATCATCCATTAAGTTAGTTGTGCTAACATACTCATACATTCATAAGTTGTATTGGCTACTAAGGTTTCATAAAATCATTCAAATTCATCATTTAATATAATCAAAGACATAAAGCATGTAATAATTCAAAATCCAATCAAGCATGCTCATACAAGGAAATTACATACTTATGTCATAAGTTTATCATTCATAGCATTTCAAGTAAGAACACGCCCTTGCAGGATCACATACCCTCCGGCCTAAGGCAGCCCATAAAGTGGACCATAGCTTTTAGGCAGTCGAGTCAATGTTTAGACATTATGCGTAATAGGATGCTATCATGGAGGTCGAACCTAGATCAAGTAGGCGGATGATCAACATCTTTATCACCGGACTATCACCTTGGGTGCTAACTACTTCAAACATTTGTTCTTTCAAAGGTACTTATTTATATAACTAAATTAATTTATAAATTATAAATAAATGAAATAAAATAATTGTTAAATAGATATATAAAATCGTGCCCATAAATAAAAATTATAGTAAATAAGTGTATTGGATCAAATATTTCGATAATTATTATCTTAGCATAGTCAATTATGAAAATTTTTGAATATAAACAATTGAAATAACTATTATGATACTTATAGTTAACTACTCTATAATTATAATACTTAATTAGTAATAAAACATAAATTATAACTAGTGCTAATATAAGAATTAAATATAAATAATAACTAATATTATCATTGTATGATAATATCTAAAAATGAAACTCTAGCCACCATCTAATTACTTTCTTTTCTCTCAAAACACCTAAGAGAGAAAGAGATGAAGGAGAGAAGATTGAAGGAGGATGGTGATTGCGTTGGATGTATCAGGTGAGAAAAAAACGTGTAATTATGTAAATTTTTATGTATAATTAATTCATATAATTAAACTTCTAATTATAATAATTATAAATAAATAATTATATTTATAATACTATTAGAATACTAACTCTAATTATACAATAATGAAGTATTAAATAATTATAACTATTTTCTTTATGTATAAATAATTCATATGAAATAGCTAAATATATTTCATTACTAAGTACTACATATTTATTAGTTATTATAATACTGAGTGATATAATTATAGTATTAGTATTAATCATAACTACAATGAAAAAGATGATAATTATAATATTATTAGAAGATTAGTTATGATTATAATATTGTGATTATAGTACTAGTTATAATTAGAATGTCTATAATTATGATGAATTAGAATGCAAGTGATTACAGTATAGTTACTATATAATTTCGACCTTGAGTTGGCAACCATTGATAAAACTATGATGTGGGTCCGTATTCCCAACTTGCCTATTGAATATTACACCAAAAGTTTTCTCCTCAGACTGGGTAGGCGCATTGGCAACCTATTAGGGTGGATGACACCACATTGGAAGCTTCTAGGGGAAGTATGCTAGGATTTGCGAAGAAGTGGACTTGTCTAAACCCCCATTCTATCTAAGTTTAGACTACAATGACAAATCAAAAGGATAGAGTACGAAGGCATTCATTTAATATGTTTTAACTGTGAATGTCATAGCCACCCCATGGATTCATGCAAAGACTTGAACAGTCCAGTCAACCTATAAGAGACTCAAGAGACGCAAATTCCACGCCAGGAAACCCTAGAAATATCAACATTTTGCTCCCCCATCCCCTCCTTATGACCCCTCCTTCTCACTGGAAGCCGTTCGACAAATTTGGACCTTAGATGTTGGCAAGGAATCCAGGACGACGTATCCCAAGAAAACATGTCTCAGACGGAAAGTCAACAAAAGGAACAAATAAGGTAAATTGTTAAGGAACTCTTAACTCTGCTCCCGTTAATGTCGCAGCCTCTAGTACTGCTGGTTCTAGATTTACTTCATTATTGGAGTTTGATTTTGAAAAGGATGTGAATCCCACTGATTCCGTGGCCCAGAATGTATCTATGCATATAAGGTCCCATCTACTCCCAGATCACAACCCATTATTGCATCAGGCTCTATTTATAAACCCAAAAGCCCTAAAAAAAGCTCCATTCAATCAATCCTTCACTAAGCCTGTTGCTGGGCTTGTCCTTTATCAGCCCGCTTCCTCCTCTAACAGCAAGGTAAATAAACTTTCCATAGCCCAACCCGATAATTGTGAGTCTATCCCTCCTCCATCCTACCCCTCTTCCCATCCTTTAAAAAATCTCTAATTATTGTTACAGCCATGAGCTCTGGCACAGTGGTGGTTGACAAGAAAGGTATGAGCACGATGGAGACTCAGGATATGAGTAATGCTATTCAAATTCTAGATCCAGATGCAGTTATGTGCATAGTTGGGAGTGGTGCAAATTGTTCAAACCCATACGTGGTATTTTCAATCGATGATGTTCATCATCTCGATAAAAAGCATCCCTCCTGAGTTGAAAATTTTGCATCGAATTTGGAGATGTCGGATGCTCCTATTGTTTCGATTAATGGATATCCAGCTAGTGTTATTCATGTGCCCTACTCTTCTTTGGAAGATGAAGAAACCCTTTTGGGTGTGCAATAATGGCTCTTGTCCTTCTAAATGGGGTATTTCTTTTTCTCTCTCTCGTGGGTTGCCTTTATGTCCATTGTAGTTTGGAATATACAAGGAATTCCAGCTAAGAGAAGTTTGTGAGTCCTCAAAGATTACTATGCGAGGTTTAAGCCGGGTATTCTCATTTTATTTTAACTGAAGATTTCGGGCATTCATGCAGATGGAATTTCTTTAAACCTAGGGTTTAATGATCGGATTCGTGTGGAAGCAATGGGCTTGAGTAGGGTTGTTTGGTTCGCTTGGATCAGTTTCAGCTGTTTACGCTCATGCTCAGTTCATCCATTGTAGAGTTGACAACCCTCTAGTGTTGTCTTGGAATTTTACTGCTGTTTATGGATCGCCTTGTGAGCAACATCATTCCTCCTTATTCTCTTCACTTTTGGCGATTAACATATCCTCTAATGCCCCTTGGATCTTGGCAAGTGATTATAATTCTATTATGGCCCCTGAGGAGACTATTAGTATTGGGCCTCATATCGAGTCTCGGTGCGCCGAGTTTAGAGAATGGGTGCAGTATATGGGGCTTATTGATATGGGTTTTGTAGGTGCCCGCTTTACTTGGTGGAGAGGTAATACCTTGTCCTTCAAAGCTGCAAGACTTGACTGAGCCCTCTATAATTCTCAATAGTGAGCTCTCTTTCCTAACGCGTCAGTGCTTCATCTAGAAAGGGTCCTCTTTGATCATTGTCTCTTGTTAATCCATTTGGAGGAACAAGCACATCCTCAAAGGCAATTTGCCTTCCATTTTCAATCTGTCTGGTTTTGCCACTTTGGGTTTGCTAATTTTACAAAGTGTAATTGGGGTGCTGTAGGTCCTTTCCTGGATAACCTTCTCTCTTTCAGAAATCAAATTGATTTTTGGAAAAATAATATCTTTGGGGACATTTACCATAAATCAGATGGCTTTTAGCCTGCATTAGAGGGGTTCAGATTAAACTTGCTGGTGCACCTTATTATGGGCTTAGAACAACGGTTGAGGACGGAGTTAGAGAACATTCTTGATCAAAGAGGTATTATGGTTTGGGAGCTGGTATAGGATCCAAACTCCTTGGTTGACTTTTCTAGGTGGCAGTGTGTGATTGGCTGGTCCAGGCATCAACTCTGTCAAGTCCTTCCGTCCCCTCCTTTAATCCTGTTCATGTTCTATGTTTTGGTTTATGGTGGATTTGGAAGTGGCAGAATGCCTTTATTTTCCAGTAGGATACACGCCCTCTTATTTCGAAGCTCTATATTCTTCAATGCCAACTAAAAGCCAACTTGTCTATATGGCATGGCAATTCTGTAACACTCCTACACATAAGGCGCTGATTGGGGTTTCTTAGCAGCCTACTCTTGTGGGTTGGATTAAAATCAACTCTGATGGGGCTTCTAAGGGGAATCCAGGAAGAAGCGGATGTGGTGGTGTCCTCCATGATAGTTATGGTCATTCGTGTGTGGCTATATGGTTAGGTTGAGACTTTGCTCATTTATGGAAGCAGAGTTGCATGCAATTTTGAATGGCTTGCAAATGGCCTAAGACATGGGTTTTAGGCTTGTTGTTGCGGAGATGGACTTGGGTGTCGAAGCAATTTCTTGAAGATGCTTGATTGCAGAATATTAGGCTAAGAAGGTTGATAATGAAGTTTCAGGCTCTCTTGAGTAAGGATTGGACTGTCCGATTGCAAAATTGCTTTCGTGAAGCCAACTAAGTGGCAGATAGCTAGGCTAATCTCATTATCTTGGGGCGTCTAGTCAAGACGATCATTTCGCATCCTCCGGTTCAAGTGCTTCAATTTCAAAATTGGGATTTGCAGGGAATCAGCTTGCCTCGGCTTGGGCCTAACTTACGTTAGTCTTGTTTTTCTTAGGGTTGTCTCCCCTCCAACGTATAAAAAATATATATATATAATGATGATATTTAATTATTATTTATGTTTAATATTTATATTAGTACTAGTTGGTATGTGTGTTTTATCATGATATTAAATATTATAATTATAGAATAGTTAATTATAAGTATTACAATAATTATTTCAATTATTTACATAGAATATTTTTTTTCTAATATATGTCATAGATAAGTCCAGAATATAATGTCATTTATTTAATGTATAGACAAATTATTATTATTCATAATTATATCATAAATGATTGAAGTATTTATATATAAAAAATTATATAACTAAATATGTCAAAATAATAATTATTCAAATACTCACTGCAATATACTTATTCACCATAATTTTTATATGAATATGATTTTATATATCAACTTAACATGATTTTTATTTTATTTATTACTAGTTCTTTTATGACGTGCGTTGCATGTTGACTTTGTTGTTATCTAAGTAAAAAGAAGACAATATTTTTGTTTCTCTCTTTAATAAAAAATATAATTTTATTATTAATTGATTATATAAATCACTAAAAATTTGCATTTACCATACTATAGAATATTTTATAATTTGGCAATGTTATGACATTAATCTAATAAATCAAGACTTGCTCTATATAGCAACAATATAAAATATAAATTTGATCTTCACATTAATTATTTTTGTTAGACAAAGTTAATCTGAAATTTTATCAATAGTATGTAATGTTTTGGACTCCATGTCTTTAAAACAAAATCTAAAAATGACTTGCTTAAAGTTCTTAGCTCCATATGGGATCAATATGCAAACAACAATATCCGTAATGGAAGATCCTTTATCAAGTTTATAGATAGATGTAAATGAGATTAAATTCAAAAAATTCAAAGTCCTACATATTTGTTTTTATAAATTAAAATCTCAAAGCTCGTTTAATACTCGTAGTTTATACTTGTTTATTTTCATATACAATATTAAATATTTATTATAATTTTTCTTTTTATATTGTGTATAATTTTTTTAATTTTAGAATGCATAAATAGTTAAAAATAAGTTAAATGTTTTAATCAAGTTAAATCTATGTGAGTTTAAATAATTTATATTTTAAAATAATTGGTATTTAATAGTTTGTATGCCTTTTAATTTGAAAATTATTTATAAATTTTATCAATTTTAAAAAAAATTAATTCAAATATAATCAAATTAATAAATAAAAAAAATCTAAACTCCAAAAAATTTTTGTTTATACTAAATAAAAAATATATGTGAATTTATCTATAAATTATATAAAATTTGTTTAAACCAGATAAGATTCAAATAAACAGTTAAATTGTGCTTTATATTTCATAGAACTTATGGATAATTATAAAAATTTTGATTTTTTACATGTTTGACCAAGTAAGAAAGTCATTATATATGATATTGTAAAAAAAATTTTGTTTTACAATTTTTAATCAAGTGGTTTTACTTAATAAAATGAAGGATAACTTTTGATACTAATTTTAAGTAAGTGAGCATACACGATCACCTTAATTTGAAACCACACCGAATTAAATCAAAATTAAAGTGAATTTTCAAAATGAAAACAACCTCACATTACATTTAGTCCAAAATCTAATTAGTTCAATTGGTTTCACTAGAAATAAAGACCGAACAAAAAAATTTAGTTTATCCATGAAAACTAAAAACCAACCTGAAACAGTTTTATCTGATATTTTAATATCCTTAAAATTAGAAAACATCCCTAAAATTAAAAAGAAATATAAGTTTTCTTTTTTGAGGAAATCTTAGACAATTAATTAATATAATATTAAATATTTAATCTAATAATAATATTTCTTTTGAACATATTGAATAATTCCAGCTAAGTGCAAAGTATGCAAAATATATTATACGATTCCTTTCAGCTTACTATTTCTATTCGTTCTCTTCCTCTCTTTCTATTCTTAGATATCATATATGGGATAAATTGTTTAATTTTTAAAAAATATATCCAATCAAATCATACAAACATAAAGAAAAAAAATGGGAGGCCACAAGCTATCACCGGTGGTCACCCATTTCCTTTTTTTTTTTTTCTTGTTTTGTTTGATTTTTTGCAAATAATCATCAGACATGTTTATAGATCTGATTAATTATCGCTCATATATTGAAATTTATTGTTGTCCATATATTGAAATTTTGTCCTTAGATCTAGTTCTGAGTTATTATTATCACCATTATTGTGATTTTGTCTAGCGTCCTTTATTATTTGGATAGTTATGCAGAAAGAAGTGCAGATCTCCTCTTCAATAGAAATAAGAAATTTGAAAGTAATCAGATCGGACTTGTAGAAAGACTAGGGAGTCGAACAGTGACCATGAATAGCCACCAAGTGGAGCAAGCGATCGCCTATGACATAAATATTATGTTCTGTCAACTCGATCAGATACTTCAAATCAAAATTGTATTTTTTTTATTCTTTGTAAGTTTGTATACGATGTTTATTATTAGGCATCCTATACAAAAATATAAAAACATATTAATCTGTATCTTGTGAATTTATATAGTTTCCAATTAATGAAATTTTAGTTTGATTTTTCTCAAAAAAAAAAAAAAAAAATACAAAAATATAAAAACATTAGTAATCTGTATCTTTGTGATTATATAGTTTTCCATAATGAATTTTAGTTTTGATTTTTCTAAAAAAAAAAAAAAAAAACATAGAGAAGAAAGAATATTAATAAACAAATATATTTTTTGCTATTTTTATCTCTCTCCTAAATAAAACACTTTAAATTATAATCAAAATAAAATTAAAAAAATAATAAAATAACTACAACGAATTGTGTATAAATTCACTTTAATTTAGTAAGATATTTATATCTCTCTTACAATAAATAGATGAAACGACCCGAAAATTTAATTTCGTAGAATTTTCATTTAAAAACTAAATTTTTTATTTCAACCAATGAGATTATACCAGCTAGTATTTTAGTATTTTATTAT